AGGTTCATATCTGCTGCCGTCTTATCTGTATTCCGGGCTGATGGGGAAATTCAAGTTTGGGATTACCTCTGACTGCTGACCCAGACCCATCTCAGACAACCTGCCCTGCACGTCTATCATCATCACGCTTCAGAGCACCGTGCAACAAAATCGCACACTCTCCCGAGCAGACTGCGGTCATATATCTTTTAAATCCCCGCGTCTGAATCCATATCTAAGTATCTTTGTTTTGTATGCATGAGGATAGAAATTAAAAGCTGATAGAAGACTTTACATTAAGGTCGGGAATATAGTGCGCCCTGTACCTTCAGTGTCCTTCCTGTAAAGGCTGAGGGCCCATCCATATGCAGATGGCTAATTTGTAGTGTTTACACAGGAGCATGGAGGGGCCGACAACTCATGAAGAGGGCTGAAAAGGAGCTACCTACACGTCACCCCAGGGGCCTGCTGGTAAAGCCTGCCCTACCAGAGCAACAACATAAGTGTCCAATCTGTGTTTGCTTACCCGTGGACACCGGTGGCTGAGTCCTGGCCGGGGGCCCGTAAATTGTGCCCTTTTTTTACAGGCCCTGACAGCTAACAGACTATTGGGAACAGGGGCCCAATGACACAGCCACTCAACAGATTAGCACCTCATCAGCCTCCTGCGGCTCCGAACAAATACGGCCCCTGCCTCTTTAAAGGGACAATGGGGCCACCACCGCTAAACAGCCCCCCGCCAAGACAGCCCTCCACCCTCCTCCAGCCACAAAACTTCCTGGTCTGCTCTTTCTCCGGGGGCCACAGCTGCATCAAGGGGTCCTTTCCCCAGTCTCCCCCCCAGGCCCACCCCAACCAGATGTGTGTATATCAGGTGAGCAAATATTGCCACTTGCCTGAGAGTTCAATGGCCAGTGCTTTCAGGAGGGTGCGTATTGCGCCTGCCTGCTTTGCAACAAGGGTGCATGTGGCTTCACACAGCAACCGGTGCACAGAGCGGGTCAGGGGAATTCTCCAGGCACAGCTGGAGTCAGCAAATCAAACATACCTATATGGCTCATCTGCATTTTCCCAGACTAGGAAACCGTTCCCAGCTTTCATTTCCTCTCTCCACAGCTTTTACAACAAAAGGGCGACTCGGTGTCACCGAGCAGCCCCCACACACGCAGATTTGACCTTTTATTCCCCTGCAATACACAGTTTCTGACTTGAAAACACATATAATATAAAGCGTTATTAATCTCTCTATCAACAATTACACTGACAGAATGGTAGAGCACATACCTACATAGATACCAGTCCGCTAAATATGCCTGATTTGTTTTTATCAAGATCCATGAATTCTGGGAAATTCATGAAAATGTCGAAAAACGTCCGGATCCATCCCCTGATGTGGATCCATACCAAACTTCAATAGGTTCTTTCCTGACCCATTCCACATCCTTCCACCAACTTTCCTGGAAATCAGTTTTCTTGTTTTTGTGTTATCTTGCTTACAAACAAACAAACCAACGATCAAGCAGACAGGGGTGGAAACAAACTTCCTTCAGATGGACACACAACTCCCATCACCATTAGGTTATAAAAGTAAACAGGCAGGGGCATTGAAAGCTGAGCTTGTCATCCACTCATGGGTCATGTTTTGGACTCTTGGTCTCCAGTGCACACATTAAAGGTGTAAACCCCCCTGAAGTTGCATTCATGTGTCATCCGGGTCATAATGTGGAAAACCCAGACAGGGAAAATACACGGTGTGCTGTGAGATTGGATTAGAGATTGGAGATAACGTGTTTCTCTGTACTCGTGTCCTTTGTCAAGGACACAGGAAGAAAAAGTAAAACACTGTGGGTAGTGTGTGGGTTACAGTTAGTTACAGGCAGAGGGCAGTGAACTGATAAAATGTCATGGTTTTTGTTGTTTTAGTTTGGAACACGTATCTTAAGAAATTGTTCAGCAGCTCCGTTGATTCCAGGCAAACATTCACTGTGAGCGTAGAATAATAGTCAATCAAATGAATCCCTGTTTACTGGTCAAGCCTGAGAGGCAGCATTGTGGAGGATGAAAGGCCACCAGCTGAATGCCACACCAACAAGGCCTCACAGAAAGGCCAGGCCCACCGCTACAGAGAACGGGATCAGCTTAGGTAAAGGCTACGTCGCCAGCTGTGTATTGGGTCAGGAGAGGATGTTTCAGCGCGGACTGAGGACCACCTTGATCCCCGCTGGAAGTCAAACACAAGTGTGGGTAGCTGTGTCCTGGGAGGCCTCCTCTGCCGCCACGGTGAAATGACACTGGCCCAGAAAACAAACAAGATCTCTCTCCATCTCTCTCCCCCAAGCCCAGGCCAGCCTTGTCGGGCTGATGGGTTTTTCTGTTGTTCTGTTTGTTTGCTTGTTTGGTCTGTAGCCCATGGATACCCAGCATGGAGCAGAGAGAGGAGAAGCGGAGGAATGGAGGACTTGGATGAGAGAGGAGAGGTAAGGAGGTGGTGGTGGTGGACAAGCGTGCACGACACACAGCAGACCTCCCCTTGAGGTGACGAGAGACCTGCCGAGAAGCCACCAGGCAAAGCTCCTCGACAAATATACTCATGAGCTCAGGATCAGGGCAACAAAGACAGATCGCTGTCTCTGCTTCAAACAGATGTTATTTCTGACACACGTCAGATAGCACAGTGTTAATACTTGTAAATGACAAACCTGCCTCCACAACTGGTTTTATAACTCACCCTCTTATGCAAGAGAAAACCTTTGGTATTCAGGTATTTACACAGGTAATTTCCAAATGTGAGAAAGTACAACAGATACTCCTTTTTCAAAATAGGGGCAAAAATGTATCTTTGTAACCCATCTTAAGATAATCAAATGTTATTTGTTACCAAACACACTGAAATTGTGAGACTCAGTGTGTGAACCTACAGTGAGTGACACCTTCTGGCAGCATGGAGAATTGCACCTTTAGCTTAATTCAACTGAATAGTGGTGTTTTATTGTGTTATTGGTTCAGTGGATGTTTATCAGAGCATGTCTGTGTTTTGTTTTTTCAATTGTCTTTTAACTGTCCTAAACTAAATTGGCTGCAGGATTAATAACATTGTAAGATATGCTTTAAAAAAGTTTCATTTTAAGTTTCATTTGTGTCTGATATAGGTTTTCCCTCCAATAAAAGGTTTTTGTCTCCAACTACGGATACAGGATGTTTCCAACAAGCCATTTTCAGTGTATGTGAAGGAGGCTTCAAGTTTCCACTTGACACAGAGTCGTATACTGGACAACAATTTACTTTAAATTAGCTGTGATCACAGCTGTCACAGAATCATCTTAAATAAGACAATCCTAAACCTTTCTCTGTCAGTGCATGCATTGTTATTTGTTACAAGCAACATCTATCACACTTCCGTCCATCCTTAGAGAGGCACCAACTTCAACTCCTTTGCGTATTACACCAGTGGCAAGACGTAAGGACACAATGTGGTTTAGGAATGTATATTTACACCAACATGTAGAGTGACAGCAATTCTAGCCATTCATTGATGTGCTGTTAAAATGGGTGTCACAAGTAGTGGAAGGTATACTGGGATGCTGTGGGAGACATCTGCAGATTTGGGGGTGACAATAGCTCACGTTACTCTGTTAGCGTTTGTATATTGTTGCACCTTCTGTTCTCCTCAATGCATCAAGTCCACATTCAAATCTTCTGCATAAGACATCAGCTGCTGCTGAGTTCTCCTTTCACACGGGACACAGAGCAACATTTAAAGTATTTAGTTTAGAGTCACACACACACACTTCACCACTCTGCAGCATAGAGCCTCCTAATGTCAATGGTTAATGTCCTTCAAGCTTTTAAAGGAGGAGATGATTAGGCAACTCAATGCAGCTGTGCCAATCAACTCACCTGTAACTGCTCCTGCTCCTGCACCTCCACTCCTCCCCTCTCCAGGAGGTGGGCACAACTGGGTGTCTGAACCCAGCCCACCCACACACAGCTTGCTCAGTTTGTTAAGACTCATCATCTTTCTGCAAAAATTAAGATCAAACTTGATAAAACAACTATATGTTCTCTCCACTAAAATGAAATCTTGTTTAGCTTGAAATTACACAGCATTAAACATGTTTGAATATTTGAAGTAATGTTTTAACTAAACCTCCATCCCACCAGAGGAGGGAGACATTGCACCTCAGTTCCCTCAGCTCTGAACCTCTCTGAACTAAGAACATACACTAATATGGTGTCCTTAAATCTGACTAACACCCGTTACAGTTATGGAGAAAAGATTAGAATGGATTTCGCTGAATGTGTCTGAGGATTGACCAATTCTTGTGGTTGTCCAGTCTATAACTGTCTCTGGGGTTAATGGGGTCATGTGGTGCGAGTAAGTTCCACATCTTGAAATCATTCCGATTAACAGACACAGGAGAGCAGTATTAAATATCTTTAAAGGGGAACTTTAACTTCTCATCAGTGGCTATTAAGACATAGAAGTAAAATAAGGCTATAGCCATGATTGTTAACAGTGGTTCCTCTGTATCTACAGGAAAGATTTCACTAAATCAATGCTAGCCATCTTTAAACTGTACCTTCAGACAATAGGCCCATTCAGAAGCACAGACCAGGAACGAGACTTTTTATTCATACGGCTGGAGCCGAACGCACGTCTGATACACAAAGGGATTCCATGATGGCATTTGTCACGAGCGATTTCAAAGTCATCCACGAAGCCCCACATCACCGCCACCCTCTTTAACTATGTCATTACTCCCTTGTGGCGAGCGGCTGGCTCTGCCGACCGCTCGGTGTGGTGCAACAATCACATCCAGCTGTTGAGAATGGGATCTGACACGTGAAACCACTACACACACACACACACATACATAAACACACACACATCGTGATGTAACATACACAGCAATACAAGGGTGGCTTATGCATGCTGGGTTAATGAAATTCAAATTCTGGAGGAGCATGAACAGGAAGACGTGAAGAAAACTTTCATAGTCAAGTAAAGACGTTGGGTTTTTTATTCCATTGGTATGAACTGAAATATACAAAACACTGACACCTGCCAATCCAGCGGCAACAAAGACAGGGAAGAGGACAACAGGAAAGAGGAATGTACTCCCAAAACACGCCAATAAAGCAAACTATAAAACTGTAGCACTATAAACTCCCATGTGAACCGAACTGTACTCATACTGATGTTTCTACGATGTCTACTGTCTAGACACAGGGGGCTGTCAAAATGGTCCAGACAACCTATTAAACAAGACAATGGACACCAGTATCCTGTTCCATGTGAAAACTTAGGTTGACTTGTGTGTGGCGATGCAACATTTCAGACAAACACTTACAGTACATCAGAAAGTATTCAAATCACTTCACTTATTTTCTTGTTTATAACCTCTGCCCTGCGTTTGTTTGTTAGCTAACAGGATTATGCAAAATCTAAAGAACCAATTTCTACAAAATCTAGTGGAGGGGTGGGACACAGCTCAAAGAGGAACCTATTCAATTTTGGTGCAGCTCTGGATCAAGATAGGTATCCAGGATTTTTTGGGAACTTTTTTTTGCATTGTGAGATTTTCCACATTTCTTTGATTTCTCAGGAAAAATGTATGGATCTTGATTAAATTAATCTTATGTATTATGCAGTGTGTGAAATATGGTTCGGACAAAAAAAGGGGGGTATTCTATTCTATTGAGTGGCATCCTAGTGATGTATACAGTTTATAGAACTCTGCTTTGCTATTATGGGTGTTGAGTGTAGATTGTGGGGGGGAATTTTGGAGCATTCAAAAAAAAATATTCTACTTGTCTACCTCATTCTGAGTAACAGCTGCTGTAACAAGTGGATTTCTCCAGCCTGGGATAAATAAAGTTGATCTTATGTGATCATATCTTAAAGCTGCAACAAATGAAAATGTGGGGAAAAAAACGTGAGCGGGTCTGAAAACTTTCTGGACACACTGTACATCAGAATTTAGGGTCACATTCAGAAATACTGCATAAGTACATGCAGAGAGTGGTGACACAGAAACATGATGCTCTAACACACAGCCCACTGTTGAGTTTAACCCCATTATGGCATTTTACTTCAGGGTTTTTAGTCCTGTAAAACTTAAAATCAACAATATCGATAAAGATAAATAGTTTGGAAATGAATAGCTTTTGTGAACATGTTTGGTCAGGGTCTGTCACTTGCAAGGAAAGTTGATAAAACTTACAAAGTAAAAACAGATCTTGATGTAATGTTGAAAACTGCTGCATCAACTTTAGTTAACTCTTGCACCCTGACCGGACACTTGAAAGCCGTTTGCTCTCTGTAGCAGCGAATAGTGTTTCCTATTCATTTGCTATGCTCCGTGGTAAGATAGTGCAAAAACCTACCACACTTACTAAATACATTAAAAACCAACAACATACAAATACATGTGATAGTTCCAGTTTCATGCCAAAGGACAGTCTCACAAACAGTTCGGACATGAGAGCAAACTCGAGCGTGTTTGATTCTCAGGCTGTAAATCCCTTGTGAAAAGTGCCCTTTTCTCCTTGGGTAAGATCTCTTTCTGAACTCGTCTGTCACATACAGAACATAAGAGTCATGTTCTTACTCAAAATTCATCTAAATCGTGTACACTAACTAAACTTTCACCTTGCGTATTTTGGCTTGTGGAGAAAAATCCATGGAATGTTTTGATGTTGTGCAAAAAGGAGGAGAGAACACCCTTCTCTCCTTTTGTTTAATGCATTTCTGTGGCCGGCGTCTCCACCTGCCTGCTTCTTGTAGCAGAGCATCAAGCTACGATTTGGGGGTTTTCCCCACTTTTAAAGCCTGCGGAGCAGAACTCTCCGTCTGATTGGCTTCTCTCTGTTTCCACAACAAACAGTCCTGGAGGGGAAATCCGGCGCTCCCAAAAGCTTCATGCAAATAAAGTCCCTGTGACAATCCTTGTCCTTTGACACATGCTGCGTAGTAAGTCCCCCGTGCCCCTAGGGGTCTTCTTCCATGTCGTCAAGGTTGGGAGCCATGATGAAGTGTTTGGGGTAAACAAGACTGTGCTCGTCTGCATACTCCTCCCAGCGTGCATCATCGCTCTCATGGGTGATGTAGCGCTCGCCTCGTCGCGTCTCAAACTCCCTGAGGTCCAGCCACGTCTGATAGTCCTGAGGAGACAAGACATGGACTTTTAAATGAAGTCAATATATTGTTCGTGTTAGTGGGGAGGTCTTCCTGATATAAAGTGATTGAAAATAAATAGTCAACCAACTGAATTCAATTTGGGGGTAACTGTTTGAAATTATTGGACATTACACATAATGCTGTGGGGAATGCATGCAGGAAGTATAATGTTACAAAGGAGTCAGTGAGAAGATAGATAGATAGATAGATAGATAGATAGATAGATAGATAGATAGATAGATAGATAGATAGATAGATGTTTTTTGGGCTTTTTTTGGTCCATGTCCCATCATAACATGGAGGAGGCAGGATTTATGACCTATACTGCAGTCAGCCACCTGGTGGCAATTCAGGTGCTTTGGCTTCACTTTTGGGGAGAAGACATGATGTCCATTTTTATATAGACTATGGCTGTAACTGATTTTGTTTGCACTGTAATGTATTGCTTTACAAAAAATGATGAATTTAGCAACAAAAAAAAACATCTTAACATTATTATAATGGGCAAGATATTGATCAGTGGAAAGTATCAGTCACACTGAATCTGTTTGTCTATGCTTAGATTTGACTCAGTCACAACTGTGAAGAATAAATGTCACGAGATTTAAAGGGTCAACAAAAAAATTGAATTCAAAAATATGTCACCTGTAACCACGGATGGCTGAGACACTTGTCCACGCTGTACCTCTTCCTCATCTTGACCTGGAGAAGATTGTTGATCAGATCTGTGGCTGTGAAGGGAAAACAGATAATGTTACTAAACTGATCTTACATCGTCTCATGTTTACAGCATAACAGAGATTTCTCAAGAGGAAAACTGCTCACAAGAGATAAATATCAGCAGTGAATGACAAGAACAAGAAGGGGGGTTGCAGTAGCTGGCTCACCACACATTAGCATCAACAGTTATTTCCTCCTCTGTGTGGGAGGAGCTGCAGTTTGGGTAGTTGGGGAGAGTTTGGAAGTGAATCATCTCAACCGCAGACGAGAGGAGACAAGAGAAGACCGAGAAAACCAGACGTGTAGGTGGGGAGGACATTACCGAGGCTGCTGAGTATCAGTCTGACATGAAAATACAAGTGCAGCCAGGCCACCATGTTCTGACAAGAGTGAAGGTCAAGCTAACTACTAGATTAGAGCATGTAGAGTTGAATATGGAGCCAAAAGAAGGATTACCCTCAGCGGAGATATCCTTCCAGGGCGTAGGTGGGTACATGAAGGCAGCGTTCTGGATCTGATCGTTAATGTCCTCGTCCTCGTTGAAAGGGAACGTCCCGCTCAAACTGACGTATACGATGACCCCCACCGACCACATGTCTAAGGAGCGGTTATAGCCTTTGCTGCGCAGCACCTCTGGGGCCAGGTAAGCCGGTGTGCCCACAACAGAGCGCCGGAACGACTTCTCGCCGATGATGCGAGCAAAGCCAAAGTCGCACAGCTTCACCTGGATGAAGACAGAGAATCATTTACACACGAGTGGACAAAGCAGAAACACTGATGTATTTGAGTTTACTTTATTTTTTTCATCTTACCTGAGGAAAGGGCTCTGCAGAAGCCAGTAGTACATTCTCAGGCTTCAAATCACAGTGAACAATGTTTTTGAAGTGCAGATGTCTCAAGGCCACCAGGATCTGTTGCGACCAAATGCGAAAAAACACAGATTGAGCTCCTGAAATCCAGATAACTATATGTCTAATTGGTCTAAAGGTTTTTTGTAGACCAGCGTCTAAATGTTTTCATGTATACAGTGTGAGGTATAAACAGGGTAATGTTTATATAATCTGTGCAGTCGAATCAACGTTGCTGCCATGTGGAAAAATCACATCACGCTAATGCCTTTAAATACTTCCATCCTGACCAGTACCTTCACAAAAAGACACGTGATCTGGTCTCCTCATCCCATCTATATTCATGATCGCTGGCATAAGCTCGTGCTGCACGCATGTCTGCTCGTGGCCCTGCACCAAAAACCACAGCGCGCCTGGCTCCCCCTATCCTGACCCTGGCTCTGACAGAAGTCCTCCCCGACCACATCAGAGCCCCAGCCCAGCCGCAGCTAATGCAGCTGTTGTTAATGGCCCCCGCTCCTGTTTGGGGCCTGAGATTCGCAGAGGCCCGGGGGCCCGCTGCTTCTTCTAATCAAACCCCCCAAAGCCACCGGCGTGCAGCAGGCTGTAATCCACAGAGCCAGGGAGGAGGGAGGAGGGTTTGCCATGCCATGCAGACTGATCACGTAAACAACCCAAACCCTGACACACACACATGCACACACACAGAAATCAGCTCACCACAAGAATAAACAGGCCCTGGAGATGAGGCACAGACTCGCTCACAGTGGGCTGACAGACCCCAAAAACAGAAGCGAGGATATAGGAAGGGAGGAAAAGGGAAGCTACGATGAGAAATAAAGGGACAAGACACAAATGAAAGCAGGAGGTGAAGAGACAGTGTGGAAAAGATAAAAGTTGTAACTGATTATCCGTTTATTTGACGATAACCAGCTGCTTTCTGAGAGAATATGGTCACATTAAGTTACAGATTGTGCTGATTTGTCTCTAATGTGTGAAAGCGAGAAGGCTAAAAAATATAATAAAAACATTTGTTGGAGTCCAATTTTGGTGAACTTTGAACACGATACTTGCTTCACATTCACTTGTGTGACCATACAGAAAATTGAGAGGAGACAAAACGGCAGAAAGATATGGAGCAAAATGTATTTCCCAGCAACACACACACCTGTGTGACCAGGAACTTGGTGATTCGTTCAGGCAGTTTGCTCTTCTCGCTGGACAGGATCATCTCCAGCATGTCGCCGTGCAGCTTCTCCATGACAACAAAGACCCGCTCTGGCGTCTCGAACATGCACTCCAGGTTGACGATACCTGGGTGGTGCAGATTCTGAGGAAAAGCAGACAATGACATAAAGACGAGCTCCTGTTCAAACCTGCAGAGCTCACTATCCTTAATAACGTGTTATTACTCGCTTTCTTTTAATGCTCATAATCATTTCAGATGTTTGGTGGAGTCTGGTCATTACCTGTAATATGGCCACCTCGTTCCTTAGCTGGCTCTCCTGCTTGGTGGGAAACCTCATCTTGTCGATGACTTTAATGGCCACATCTCTGCCGCTCTTTCTGTGTTTGCCTAAGATATTATGGAACATGGGAAAATGATTTAAAAAGCCGAAAAATGTATTACAATTTACAGTAGATCTATTTCAAATTCAGTTGTAGAGACATACCTCCATACACGATGCCGAACTGGCCTGACCCCAGCACCTCATCAGAAAATATTTGGTAAACCGAGGCAATGTCCTGCACAGAGACGATTTGCACTGTTACTAAACTATTGTGTTTTGTTTTTACTTGTGGGAAAAATGTGGTTAAACATTCCATGCTGTCAATTGAAATCAGTATCATTACATCATCTAAATCTTGGCAAAACCCCTGCCCCTCCGCGAATGTTTAACTCTCACTCGATGCAGAAGTGCAACTGAGACTAAAACTCCACGGAACAAAAACACAAGTCTGCAGCTTCCTCATTTGTGTGGCACTTAAGCTTCCACCAGAGGTTTTGGTTGAAAGACATTAAAACATTCTGGGACAAGTTTTCTGATGTTTAGAGCAACAGCTACTCCTTCAACATTAGTGGATGTGTTGTGCATGTGCAGGGCCTGTGCTGGGAAACTGTGCAACAGTGACTGAAAGACGAAAAGTAGCCCCACTCACCACATTCTCCTGGATCTGGCAGTTGGACACAGATATGCTGATGGACAACTCTTCTGAAAGAGAAGACACATGATGGTTCCGCATTCAACAAGTAAAAAATGTCACTTTATCAAGGCATAAAGCCGCCAGTCACTCCATCAGTCAGTGAAGTGATTGTCAGATGCTCACGTACTAGTATTTTTCGGACACAACTTTTCCTCCTAGATTGCAGCTGCATGCAATACGTCACAACCCCTCATTATCAGCATTTTATTACATAATAAACTGGGTAAGAAATTGACTATTTGGCAAACTGGGGGAATGGGATCGAACCACCAACCCTCTGGTTAGTGGTTGAACCGTTGTACCTCTGGAGCCACAGTCTCACATATTTTTTTATTTGAATCTGGGACAGTCAATTATATTTCAACCAACAGGAAAGAACAAATTAAATCAAAGTTAAAATCTATAGGGCATAGACAGTTTCATAGAGAGCTGAGCATTCATTTCTAAATGCTGCCATGGTTTCAGAAGTGAATTGCTGTTCCATGTCTACAGAATTTTTTGTGATGCCCACACATAAAATTATTTGCTTCTATAGAGCAGGTCACTCATATTCTATCTAATAGTCAATCCATAACCAAAGAGCCTCTAATAATATTCTACAGGCTCCTGTATTTGTTGTTGGGGAAGAAACATGTCAGAAAAACAACACCTCTGACCAGTGTGAGATTCTGCACAGTCAGTGACAGACATATGACTCGCCTCATAACCACACTTATTGGTCTATAGACACTAATGCAGGGCTTTCCCTTCCTCTCCAAAGTTCAGTCGGGTCAGCGCCTTTTTTGGATGCCACCTTAACCAAAGTCGTGTAAGGGGAGTTCTACTTTCTTTTGGGGCAGATCTCCCACCTCTAACAAAAAGAGAAGAGACACTTCATTTGCTGTTGCCCAAGTCTGTACTTAAACTTCATGTTGAGGCAGGAAAAACCCAGAACTATTATCACAGAAAAGGGAAACACAAACTTGTTTGAACCAAAAACAAAGTGACAACCTGAGTAACTCATGACTATGTTCATCAATGGTGAATAAAACAAATAAAAGTTTTGGTCATCTCCCTTTGAATATTTCAATATCTTGATTTTAGACTTGATTTTAGGTTGATAATTTATAGCCATGAAGAAATTACTATATGTAATATCAAAATCGTGGTCTACCTTGGACTCATTATAAAAGTATGTGCACGATTAGTCTTGATTCTAAAAATATGTATTTTCAAGTTAATTTTAATTTCATTAATGATTATAAGTCATTCATTTCAACCATAACATCAATGCTTTTTGCACTCGAGAGCTGTGTATATTAAACTTACTGTGATCTTTACCCTGTCCGGCAGCACTGGCCACACTGGGCTGGGGGGTGACAGGCATCAGGGCCTGTCTGATGGCCTTCTCCCAGCCCTGTGCAACCTCCATACCCACTCCTGAGGCAGCCAAAGCAGGGCTGTGGTAGTGGCTGCCGTTGTTCTCTCCCACGTAGTACACCATGGTCGCCGTGATGATCTCGAAGCAGTGAGGGTTGCTGCCCTGGGCCAGACTGCTGTAGTCTCTGGACTGCTCCACCTGAAGGATCTCGGACAGAGGGATTTCCTGTAAGGGAGAGGGCGAGGGGGGTTACAACAGTTAATATTATATTTTATTTTAATTCTCAAATAAAAATATTTTCAAATATTTATTCCAGTTTCAACAAAATCTAGTCAACGGGACTTTTACTAAAGGTTACATGTATATCATGTGACTGAAATCACATGACTTCGAGGGGGGTGATGTCACATGCTCCCCTTTGGAATTGCATGACAAGGTCAGTGACATAGGATTCTGATAAGATTAGTGTTAAGGATGTAAATCTGTCATATATAAGACAATGTTGCACATTGTTATCAAATTATGTTTGTTATGTATTCAAGCAACATAAAATGCAATAAGTTGTTGAAAATGTGTTTTAGTTGTTTGTTTCAAAAATGTTTTAGTCGTCCCACTTTATCAAACATGGATAATAATGTGGGACAGCATGCTTTGGGTAATCTGGGACAGTTATTTAAGTTCTCTAATGGGGGAATATGCATTTAGGGACTTCCTGAAGTAAAAAAAAGATAAACTAAAGAGATGTAGCATATGGTCTGCAGTTGTCAGACAGGAGTTGATGGTAAATACAGTCTGTCCCTGTCAGTTTTTTGTCTGGTTAGTTAACTAGCACATAATCAGTTAGCTCTCTAGGAAAGAGATGATCTAAAAAGCACAGAGGAGTATTTGTCCTGTGACCTGCAGCCATTGGTTTTAATATAAGGTAATTTTCAAGAGTAATATACATTTTCTTGTTTATTTTATTAGTCATTTTTGCAAAAAGCTTTGTAAAGACTTGATAATACTGAGCTCAACATGCATAAAGCAAGGCTTTTTTAAAAGCCTATACAAGTGACCCAGATTATCAAGTGACCTGTCCCAGATTTTTAAATTCAGGCAGAATTTTCTTTTTTTGGCATAAAGAACACTATAAGCTGTGTCATGTATCCTCTGGGTATGATAGCTCCATTCTTTCTTCTGGTTTGGTTAGAAAATATTTTAAGGATTACAGAAAGGTGTATCATGTTGATCGAATGTGTAACGCAGATATCGGAATAAATCGTAGAAGTCAAAATAGCAAAAGATTATGGATATTACCCGAATTCACCCCTACACATGCTTATTCACTAATAAACGAGTGCATTATACAGGTTGTGTTGCCTAAATATTGGGATGAATAAAGACTATATATAAGGGTAACTAATGACACTCACACATGAACAAATGGACAAACAGCTTGTTCTCTAACACTTAAACATCTAAATGGATGATAAGAGAAATAGATATTATACATAAATAAATAAACATTGAGATGAAAAAAGGAACATTCTAAAAAGTTAAAGTATGAATAAAAACAGATGAAATAATAAATCACATCACTTCAGCAAGTTGTCTGGTTTCTTTGGACCTTAAATGGGCAAAGTTAGAAATTCAAATTGTGATTATCTAATTTAACAAAATGAAAACTATCTAAATCTACAGATGCAGTGCTCATCCTTCACAATAACATGACATTAATAGAGGTATTAACACTCACACAGTCTCCACGCTCAGTTGTTGACAGTATAATCCGAGCTCTATCTTTCTCTCTTCCTCTTCTCTACAGACTGAACAGTTGCAGCCCACTTTAAAGTTCCCCCCTTCCCCTTCAAGCTCAGTGTCAAATTAAAGAGAGGAGGGAGGGTCGAAAAATCAAAAAACACACAGAACTTCCAGCCAATGGGGGCTCCCTGAGGCACACGCTGTCCCCTCCGCGTGGCTCACCACAGGAGTATCGGATGAAGTGCTTGTGGTTAGCGGGGCCAGGTCACGTGAGCGGGGCCCTGCGGCGGCCGAAGAGCTCTGGTTCCCTGATTACAAGGCAGGGCCAGCCAGAGGCCCCATCTGAGCATGAGCCGCTGGCGCTACCGCTAGCCACTGAGACAAAAAACGCGGCAACTGCCATTCTTCTACAGGGTAGAGTGTGTGTGTGTGTGTGTGTGTTTTGATTGTGACAGCACTCAATCTGGCAGAGACAGAGAGAAGCCCCCTCACCCCATGAAAGGTTTCAGAGAAAGCCACAAGTACAGGGGTCTCATCTTCAAACGGGAAACTGTTATGGCTTCCAAATGGTGAAAATGGCTGCCATGCCTGGCAAGCGAGCCACCGCACGACCACCACTAATCAGATTGGAGGTATAAAGCAAAGGGGAGGACAGTGGTCGCATGCTGATGAGCAGCAGGCAAGAAAGTTCAGAGAAACGAAAGGAAAATGCTCAAACTGATTTCCCGGATAGAGACGGGGCAGATGGAGAACCTGTGGTTTCTGAGAAGAAACCCCTGGACGAAGCTTTAATCTACTGTACGTACAGGAGATCATCTCACGTTATCTATCACAGGCAGAAATCTACCGCTGTGGAGCAACAGGCACGCAAACCTTTTGAGCATTTACAGCGAGCCTTCAATTAGCCTTCTGAAGGTCTTAAACGAGGCTGAGTGCCAAGTTGATAATAAAGAACCACATAAAGCTGCCTGTAAACACACCCAGAGGAGTCGGTCCCTGCGGAGGTTTCCTCTCCGAGGCTTTGGTGGCAGAGGCTGCAGGGTGTGACAGAGTAATTTGGGGAGAGGGGTGAAGGGAGTCGAGCTGTTTTTCAGCCTTGTTTCACAACCAGTGTCAGAGAGAAGAAAAGAAGGACTGTAAGCGCAGCTGCTTACAAAACCACCACTTTAACACACACGCACACACACAAAGTGAGTGTGCCGCCAACTCTATCGCACCCGACACACACACACATAACTCTGACCACAAGTCAGAGAGGTATCACAGTCTCAAAACATACAGAGCGACATGAACAATAAAATGATTACACCCAACCCACCCACTCTACARACACACACACACATACAGACAACCAACCAACACACATGTGGAAGTCTTTACCTCTCAGTTCCCTCCCTCGCTCCTCAGTGTGTAATTACTGTGCTATTAAGCCCCTGTGGCAGTGTAATGACTGACTACGGTGCTGGCACTGAGTGGGAAGTGTCACACACTCTCCACGACTGATTTTACACATCCAAATGACATTTTTCACTCACAGGCACTTTGAACTTAGAGATAAAGGTTGTGCGATAAGATGTTCGACCGATTTGATTCATTTTAATCATCCTTGGTTATGAATTTGAAGAAATCAATCCATTTATGTTAAAAAGATTACATGGTAGATGTGAATGCATGACGTCTGACCTGATACACAACAGCTTACAAATTGGCAGTGTTAGTGGCTGTATCTTTTGACTGCAAGGAAGAACTGAAAAACCCCAAGGGAAGTTTCAGCGAGACAAACTGACCTTCAAACACACAGGACCCTGCTGCTGACACGTTCTCAGATGAGACTGGGTTGTCTCATCACAGGTGTGTCGGGCAGTATTTAAATGTGGGTATGAAAAACACATCCCCTAGCGGACGTCAGTATCCCTTAAAATGCTTTCAGACATGCACGCACATTGGCCTGAAATGTTCCAGAGGCGCTGAATACAAATGTCATATTCAGCTGCTCTGGACATTTTCTGGAGCTTTTCCTGCCAGCCCCCACGGTTAAATGTCTAAAAACTAGAATTAGTCAAAGTTTTTGGACATTTCCTGGAGGTCATGTCTAAAAACGGTTTACTTTCAATTTGAAGGAAATTAGAGCAGTGGCAAAGTTTCAGGTCTGTGGTGAGATATTTTTTTCACCATGGACTCAACACTGAATGTCCCTGCTCAATTTTCAGACATTTCAATGAATGTTACTGTAAAGCTGCTTTCAGATATGCCCTGAACTCAAAATAATCTCCTCACTTTCTCCGGAGGGGCTTAATATGGGAGAACACAAATGTCTGTGTGACAGCCTCAGGACTTTCTCTGGAGTTTCTCAGCCTCTAGTAAAAACCCTGGATAATGTCTGAATGAGCCAATGTGAGAAAACACCACATGATTGAGTGGGTGCAATTTTGTTAACACACAACTTCCGCAAAACTGATCAAAATAAAGGAATACAAATATGTCAGGATGAAGAAGATGTGTCACAGACATACAGTAGATGACACTGACAAAGATGTCGACATAGAAAGAGCTTTTGGTGATAATGGCTGACACCAGTGTTGATGTGCTGTAAACAAAATCACATGATCTCCGCGGTAGAATTTGTACGTCATAGGACATGAAGAATCTCCTGCCGCGTTCTTCGTATGTGAAAGGCGAACTCCGGAGAAAGGCCAGACCCAATTGTGTGGACATTCTCCGGAGCTCACATCTGAAAACGGCTTGTATTTGATGCAAAGGACAAGACACAGAGACGAGAGTTTCATTCTTACTTTGTAGAACTTGGCTCCAGTGTCGTTCTGGAAGAGACTCAGACTCTTGCTATCCAGCCTCCAGTAGTGTCTCTTCCTCTGTTAAAATGGAGGAAAACAAACACCACATTAGTCTGCAATGCACAAAACTCATCCAATATTGCAGTAGTTACTATTTATTTAGTTTCTCAAGCAAAATACCTTCTGTGCTGAATTCATTACATGAATTCAACAGCTTTGGAGAGAGGGAGTTTTCCCCAGCATTAAGGCTAAGAACAGCCCATTTCAGACTGGGCTCCTCTGTAGAGCTTTGGGAGGTTATCAGTCTTACCAGGTTGTCCCTGCTCGTATAATGTACCATCCAGCCCTCCTTCACTACAGTGGAGCTCCGCCTCTTGGTGTGTTTGATGGACTGGACCACCCGCATGAGAGGGATGTTGCTGCTAGTGGAAGGACTACACACACACACACACACACACACACACACACACA